AGTTTGAAATGGAGTTGGGTCTTCCTGGAAAGAAATGTCATTTCCTTTGAAGAAACTTCATCCTCCAGCACTATCACCACAGTGTTAAGATCCACTGCCTAATGATTTATTCTTAAATACCATTTAATTCATTCAGCAATTATTGAGCACCTGCTCTGTGCCAAGCAGTGTTCTAGAACTGAAGCACCTCTAGTTAGCAACAAAGTGGCCCTGTTCCTCGTCTCTTAACTGGCCATGGCAGTAAGATGGCCTTTCATTATAATCTTTTATTTTTTTGTTTAAGGAAAAATGTTATTGTGATTGTTGAGTTTAAATATTTACTTCATGGGTAGTAAAAGGTTCTGAATCTCAGTTGCTTATGGCTTTGTTTATTTTTAATGATAGGAGATATCACATTGTTTCTCTGCAGATTTATTTTAAGAATAGTCAAATTCACTAAAGTATTAAAAGGGGCATCCTCTGTGAATTACTAAAGAACATAAACCTAGAATATCTTTAAAGAAATTTTTATGGCTTTATATATTATATGTATTATATCAAATATACATTATATAGACACATATACATAATATATAATATTATATGTATATCCAAATAGATATCAAATTGAGTTCTAGTAAACAAAATGTGGTATATGAGATTTATTAACAATAGACCTGGACACATATACATAATATATAATATTATATGTATATCCAAATAGATATCAAATTGAGTTCTAATAAACAAAATGTGGTATATGAGATTTATTAACAATAGACCTGAAACATCCTGAGTTTAGCCACATGGCTCTAGAACATTCTGTTTCTCAGGTTGTCAGTGGTGAACAACCAGTTATTTATATCATCAGTACTTTCGTACAATGAATGACAATTAACTATTAGAAAAATGAAATTAAAGGGACATACAAAATACAAGCACAGTCTTTTTATTATTATTATATATAGATTTAATAGACACAACATTGTTCTGTTAAATTGCAATACAAGTGTCTGAAACACAGACCCCACTTTGAGTAGCGCTGTTCTGGAACATCCATAAAACCTCATCACTGTTTCTTGAAGACCCCTTTCACATTCTTACTTGTGTCAAAAGACCTGGCTGTGTCTCAGATCTTCCCTGTTGTACTCTTAAATTACTTAAAGACAGCAGATCAACGTCTAATTCAGTTCTTAATCTCCCGTGATACTTCACACATACATCACCTTCAATGAATTCTGAGAAAATCTGCCCAGATTAGCCCCAAATTCATTTTTTGTTTTGTTTTATTTTTGTTCATTGATTAGAGGTGCATTTTGGATTACTAATTTTAGAGAACATGATTATCTACTTGGAAAGATTTCTACTAATTATCTTAATAGCCTTATTATTTCTGGGAGTAACTGTAATTAATAAAAACAAGTGAAATCCTCTAAAACCATAAAGCT